GGATCTGTCCCTCTTTCACCCCTTAAAATAAAACCAACTCGCCCCATTTGTCACGCCTCGATACGGGTTGGACAAAAAACAAAAAACACCGCATGCTTTACTAGAACACAGTTTATTCAGATTTGAATTAAAGGATTGCAGAATCAGACTACATTTTGAAAGTATCAATAGGAAAAAAACTTTGAACGTGCAGTACGCATGATAATGAAACTGAACCCAAGTTTTAATAGATTGCATGTAAAAACAATTTAATGCATATTTTTTTATTCAGTAGAAACGCAACTATTTTGATGGAAAGATACACACACTCTTGCAAAACAGAAAAATGGATTTTTGCACATACAAGGTGCATTGTTTCAAAATGTTAGTCTTTCTTTCTGATTTTGGTTTCAGATTCAAACGTTGTTTCACAAGTAATGTTAGAATTTCCATAGAATATGCATACAAGGATGAAGGCTAATAATATAAAATGGAGTTATTTGTTATAAGAAGAATTGGTTTTATCAAAGTGCGGTATATGATAAATTAGAAGAAATCTACAGCATATCTTAATTTCTCGTTTAAATTAGCTGTTATGTTTCAGCACTGTTAATAAGATAGACCACGGCGAAACTGAAATTAAATACTATATCTATTTATAAAATAACAATCGGTAGTTGAAAAATTCACGTGAAAACTTAATGCGCGACGTAAGGCACTGCATCACATGAACAGTGATCTCAATACATGGACAAAGTTTGGGCAAAGATATCATTTGACAATTTGCAAAGTTTTCAAGCCATCTTTTAGGTGTTTTGAAACAGTTCAAAGAATACAATTTGAACTAGATAACATATATTTTAAAACGCGTGTGTATATAAACACCACTTTTATAACCATCTCTGGGTTGTTTAGAAATTGAAAACTCCAAGAAGAAATGTACTTTTATTCGGGTGAAATACTTCGTAACGCGTTGGTTTACGATTACATCGTAATAAACTCCTAAAATTAATTATGCAATTCTACAATGTCAATTAAGAAAAAAATATGTGATAGCTAATCGACTTTGAAGAATGAACTTACCAGAGATTACACCAACTATACGATGAAAAAACACCTTTATACCCAAAGTTTAATTAATCGTGTAGACAGTTTGAGGTAGCCGAAAGGGTTTTAATGGAATCAGATTCATCTGAGCTAGTTGTTTGGAACAATTAAAAAGAATTATGATTCATACCTAAGGTATATGGCTTATGAATTACATCAGTAAATCATTTCAACTTAAGAAAATCAATATGTAATCCTAAAACGTTTTTAAAATAACAACAAGATCACGCGCCAGTTCACCAGTTCATAAACCTGTTCAATCGTTATAACTGTATGTACGTGTGCGCTCGTTTGCATGAGTGTGTCCAGTTCCTTAATACGGGCTGAAGGCTGGGCGTGGTTCCATCAGTCACGTGCCTTCTACAGTCAGCCAATTAGATTGCAGTTCTGAAATATGAATGTAATACGTTAATAACGCAATCAATTATTCTAAGGTAATACATGTATTAATTTAGACTAAAGAAACTTCTAATGAAAAAGTTGATATTGAAAGAATTATCATTGGCTGAGCATCAAATTTATAGAGAAATTTCAATAAAAAGATATAAAATTAAAATGAAAGGAGCACAAAAGAACTATACACATGTATATTTCTTAACAAATGTCAATAAATGTGATACTTGTCTCTAACACTTTGAAACGAATGGCCAGGGAAAAAACGTAAAAGTAAAAAACCACCACCTTCGTTCATCTGTTTTAGCTTCCTTCTTAATCACCCCTTATTCCCGAAAAATTAAAATGTATTAGAATACAGAACAACTTTAATTAGAACGCTCCTCTGCACATTTTAGGCATGTTTTTCACTTTAAAAATTTAAACCAAACGAAGTGTATAGATTCACATACACTGGTAGAAAATCGAATTTGCCATTTAGATGATGAAAATACTTTGAAATAACATTTTAGATGGTAATTCCGTTTAATTCTTAAATAAATAACTGACCAAACTGATAGAATGGACTTTAGTGTAGCAGATGAAATAATAAATCCTATAATCTAATCTTTTAAACATCTATATATCTTATTTAAGAATTGTTAATTGTTCACTATCTTTTTGAACAAACTCGACGGTCTGTAAATTCATCGAATCCTTTCAGAATACTCATTACCACCTGAAAATTGGGCTTTGCGCCAGCTCAAGTGATTTTGAAAATAAGGAATGCAAAAGGCTATGATTAATGTCAGTCCTACAGAAACATTTTAATGGACAACCAATCCTGGGAATTTTTTGTAGCCAACTATAGGAACAGCGTTTTTATCATATACGCTACAAAGATCTCCATTCTACTACTGCAATATTAAATCAATTTTTCAATTCGGATGACAATTTTTACCCTACCTAACTTGGTTTCAGAAAACAGGTGTTTGATCCCCGCCCAGCACTGAAAACACCGAGAACCAGAGAAAGTTTATTCATAGCCACAGTGCCATATGCATAATTGTTAAAAGATCGTTATAGTACATGTGGACAATTCCGGAGTAACGTTGGCACATTTTGCCCATTTAATAATGTTGGGATTTCTTAGGCTTATACGTTTTATTAACAGTGTCTTTTGTAGATTTACATCCCTTCCTCTTTTTCGACTGAACACACGATAAATGTAATCAGAAGTTTCCTATATGCATTTCACGTAATGCGGTTGCAATGTTTTCCTTCCCAGACGTCAACAACATTTTAAAAGAATAAGAGTGTCGCAGCGAGGAGTCAAGTTGCAGATATGCCCACACATATTTTCAGTGACAAATAAAAAACGTTTCTTTTCTTGGAAATTTATATATGATAATTTTAAAATTATCACTTTATCATTTTTATACAGACATTATTTCTCTCAAATGAAAAATTCAAATCTAAGGTTTCAGGTTTAAAAAAGGACGGGCAGGCTATCAACCCCGACCCATAAGTATTAATAAATTACCCTCATAACACCATAATCAGATAGAGCACTGCACTACGACATAGTAAAAAGCAATTATCAAAAAAAGCAAACCAGCATCATGCAGGGCGGACGCTTAGTATGGATTTTTTTTTAAATTAAAATTTCTATGAGAAGTTTCATGAATAAAAAGCTCATTTTATTCGACTTATACTTCGAAGTACGTTTTGGAGCAGAATGTTACAACCAAAAGCAAACATAACATTCCATACTTAATGTAGTCCCTGCAAATTAACGAATAGACAAACGTCGGCATAGGAGGCAATCTTGACATGGGTGTGGGGCTGTACCAGTATGTGTCGAACACCAAACGTGTCTCTGTGTAGGGCGCTTCTGGTATCTTCATAAACGGTACTTAGTGTCACTGGAATTAAAGGAATACAATTTTCACATTCATGAAACAATGTCTAAAGATCTGATAAAGCAGTACATGTTCATTAAAGCAATTCGTGTCAGTTTCCTTTGCATATATCCCGGTAACTAACATCCTATAATTAACAAATCGCAATATAAAGTTTAAAATTATACAAATATATCTATTCATATTGAGCCCTCGTGGAAAACTAATGGTATCAGAAACAAAAGGGTGACCAAATGTTACTGAGGGAAAGCTAAGAGAAAGTATTTTTCGCGTCAGGTAGATGTCCCCATGGTCATTAAGCCTGTAATACACCTTTTCGGGAAAATATCGTCCATGCAAAAATAATAAATGCTACAATACATTTTCTATCATCTGTACGGAACTTACGAGATACTGCTGCCGGGTTCAGTGCCATCTTTTCGGTCTACGTGTGGCAGTAGCAGTATGGCATGGGACATCCTTCTTCTCCATCTTCTACTGACCTTGGTCATATCTGAGCACCTCTCACCAAAACGCTCATCTGATTTACATAATGATGAACAGGTCACCTACTTTCCGCGCGGACGCTTCGGTTTGAATTATCGTTTGGCTTTTGAGAAAGCACAATAGGTCCAGGGGCGGATCCAGGATTATTTGAAAGGGGGGGGGGAGGGGTCCGGAACGACAGGCTTCGGATGCGAAACCGACCCCCCCCCCCCCCCTGGTGTGGGGTTAGGGCCCCAAAAAAATATGTTGTTTTGGAGAGCAAACAGTGCCCTTTGGTACGGTTTAGAAGAATGATTTAGCTAGTCAAAATTCTAATTTCAAGAGGGGAATATTGGTGTATTATACTTTTCATAAACCAAAGTGGGACTCAGGGCCATCCTGGTTGCCAGAATCGTTTTTGAAAGACAAAACTAGTTTCTAGTTGCCGGGTGTATTTTTGAAAAACGACGCTAGTTTCTGGTTGCCTGGTTCGGTTTTGAAAAAAAAAACTGGAAACCAGACATTAGACTATAACTTCGGCGTAGAAAGGCGAATATGTTCTAATTTTTGGATGTTTAACTCTGGCTATCTTTGATAGTCATTTTTCTTGACAAAAGAAATGAAATCTTGAATTACCAACATTTTCCTTTAAACACCAAGTTATATCTATTTCACACAAAACCCTTGAGGAATAGAATGTATTATTTCTTTGTTATTGAGAACAAGATTTTATATTAAGGTCTGGGCTAGCAGGTATTGAGGCTATGAAAAACGTGTGTGTGTGTGTGTGTGTGAGTGTGTGTGTGTGTGTGTGTGAGTGTGTGTGTGTGTGTGTGTGCAAAAATAAAAAAAATGAATTTTTCTACAAATTTCAGCAATGCACCCATGTGCACTATTTATCATAAAGCTAAAATGTAGTACTCTAAATTTTGAGAGCGAATGTTGCTTTTCAACAAAAATTTTCTCCCATTAAGATTACAAGCACTGGTATAGAATTCTTATTTCTTATTCTTTTATTATTATTATTATTATTATTTTATTATCAATTCTTATTAGACTTGCTTATTTACACATTCAAAATAATCAGGGTGACCACTGGCCTGACATTTCGGGTATGACAAAAATAAAAAAGAGATAATTAGTCTAGACAACCAATCAGAGATAATTAGTCTAGACAACCAATCATCAGAAGAAAAAGTGAGAATTGTTAGAATTATGTAACCGATTTTTTTATTTGTGTGGTACAATAACTGTGACCTGTTGCCTTTATAATACTCGGTGCTTCATCTCAAATTTCAAGTTTTGTACATCAAGTTTAAATATTTTCAATATTGCATAATTACACATATTTTTTAATGCTGATAATCACAAAACCATCCTCCTTTTAAATCAGAAAAAAGAATCAGCCCCTTTGACTTTAATAATAAAAGGGGGCAGCGTAACTATGAGACAAAAGAACAGGCTATTTTGAAAATATTATGTATTAGTTAAAGAAAACAAAATCCAACAAATATCCCATTAATCCAATATAAGATACATATTATGTCTAAAACGACTGAAACCAGAGGAGTTATACACATGATAAGACAGTGCTTATATTGATAATCATACCATATCGACAAAAGAAAATAATAATTTTAGAGGTGGATGGTATCTATCATAATTAAAAATACTATTTTGATTGGATAATTAATGTTGACTAGTAAGGGTTGAGACAGCATCAGCATGAAATATTTCTTTAATATCTACAATTTCAACACTGATGTCACCACTGATTACATCACTGGTTGACTGGTTGCTTTTTTTTGGGGGGTGGGGGTGGGGGGGGGGTGGGGCACTTGCAAAGATTTGTCCAGAATGTTTCTCATATGCTTCCAACCCCAGCAATATTCAAGGTTCACCAGTATTTATCTTTGACATCACTCTACTTCTAGCAAAGCTGACAGTCATACAAACATCATTAATAAAATATATAATATTGCTAAAGGTTCAAGAGACTGCAATCAATTTACAATTAATTTAATAAAAATAATGACAATGCAATATAAAATTAAAGTGACTTGGCATCAAACCTGTTACACATTTTCTAATATGGTGGCATTTTGAGAGTCTCTCTCAGACACTTTTAACTCAAAAGGGGAAGTTAAAGTTGGATTATTCCCTGAAGTCACTTATTGCATTACAATCAAACACAAATCATCCAGCAAACTTTTGCATGCCAATTACATGCCCAGTCAGATTTACAGGCAACATATGTTGATGACAGACCCAGCAATCTGTGTCTGCTCATTGCTTTCATAAAATCAAAATGCATCATCTTTTTGATATAGTTTGTGGTATATGGAATGTGTTCCAAAATATATCTACACATAATAGCTAAAATTATGGCATCATTTTATACAAATGCTGGTCAAGTTCAACCTTTTTCTAAGATACTATATAAAACTAAAGTATATATAAATATATGTACATTTACACAGACAAGATCATCATCCTTAGTTAAGAGGGAGTTAAGATGAAAGTCCAGCTTGCCTTTTCTCCTTTAATCTCAAGTAACCTGCCTGGGCATTTAGGTTGAAAGGGACCCTATGTGCATAGATGGATACTTATTGGCAGTGATAAATCATTATACTATCAGGAAAACTTAACACTCGATCAGTTGCAGAAGTTTTGCTGAATTTTATATTTACATCTCTGACACTTCACTTCACAACACCATATGAATTTACAGTCACAGTCTTCTTCTACTTGTTTTACTGTTGTGTAGTACCCTCTTCCACAACACATTAACTGACAGCCATCCAGTCCCTGACTTGTACTATTACACAGGCGTCCCTTGGTCCCCAGGGAGTCAGTTTTATGATTTGGGGTACAATAATCTGGCGACTCCTTGATGTACACCAAGTCAGTTTTGTCGGGTAACTTTTGAAACTTGTTCCTTGGTTTGAACTTTTGCTTCTTTTTGCTATATTTTACATGGCTCGCTCCATCAAATTTTTCCTTTAAGTTCTTGCCAACTTTGCGGAAATTATCCGTCGTTCTCCAACACACCTTAATGGAGCAGGATCCAGAGACTCCATGGCACTTGCAGAGAAGTTTCATTTCACCGGAAATGGCCTGGATAGAAACAAAGATAAAACTGATCAAGAAAATTTTCAATGAAGTAAATCTATTTAATTTCAGGCAAAAAAGGAGACTGCCTGAAATATATAATATTCATCCATTGTTATACATAAATGATATGTGAGTGGACAATTGCGTTAGGTTATCCTGCTTGTCACAACCAATTGTGTTTTGTCTTATTCACAACAGGGCTCTGTATCACGAAAGGTTCGCTATGTCGCTAAGTTTTCACCAATTTCACAGGGAAAATTTTCCATCACCTGGTTTCAACCTCCCTTAAAATAAATCACCTTTCTAGTGCACAATATACATTCATTCTAGCTTTGCGCCATTGAAAATAAACATATATAAATAATATACTTTCATTTTAAATTTGATTAGCTAACTGTTTCATTATTATTATTATTTTTTTTTTCAAAATCAAATTTAGGCGTAGCTAACACATCCTTACCAGTCTTCCAGCCTCATTGTTCCAAAGATTCATCTGCCCTGGTGCCTTCACCTTGATTTCAGTAGAATCCACAAATTGAGACACAAACAGATTAGCATGATTTATATCATGGGAGCAGCCACCCCACTCAAACTCTCCATCGGTTTTTTGGTTACGAATGTTGCTGTCGCAGCCACACGTTTTCAGCTCTCCCTTGGCACACGCTCTGGCCACTTCATGCATGACACTGGCTGCTTGGATGGCATAGATAAAGGCAGTCTCTCTGGTTTCTAAAAAATAAAAAATTACACTTAAAGAAGTATATTACTTGGGATTCTTATTCTTCTTAAAATAAAAATAATTATTTTATTTATTTATTCAACCCTTTATTTGAAAATCTTTGGCCAGCCACTTATGAAAAAAAAAAAAAAAAATGCATAAGCCTTAAATTACATGCACCTAAAAAGATATGGAGGACCTGAATCATAAATAAAATGTCTTTTCTCTGCTGTGAATATCAGTTTCATATAGCTTTCCTAATTTTTTATGAGAAAATTGTTCAATTTTTTAGGAAAAGTCTTAAACCACACAGTTACCATATTGAAAATGACTGATTCTCCAGACATTCAAGTGAAACAGATGCTCTAAATGTTTATGTACCAGTTGAGTGACATTACATCAACTGCCGTCATATTTTTTCAACTGGTCAATTTAGGTAAAGTAAGTAAAACCAGAGAAAGGGATTTATTAAGCCATAATGTTTTTGTTTGTTCATGTAAGGAATACTATTTTTGCCTTCAGGCATATTGCAGCATTTACCTAACTTGTGCAAGTCTGCAGGGTGCAATATGAGAAAGTTTACAATGCCAAATGTATCTATGGGAAAGGAGAAAAATAAACATTAACAAATTTGACCCAAACAAAATAAAAATATGTATCTCAATTTGCACACAGGATGCTGGTGGCAAAAATATATTGATTTTGACTGCCAGGTTGTTTATACTTTTAAACTTATATTTATGTCCAAATGTTTAGAATATTTTCATTTTTATCATCATTTTATGAATATTTCTAAAATGATGTCATGGCCAAGCTTGTGACTTTTTTTTTTAGGGGGAGATCCATGCATAACACCATTTTCTTTACTTTGTAAATGGAATGAATATTTCTTATTCAATAATATATGCTCATTAACAGGATAATTGTGTTAAAAGAGGTCAAAGGATAATATTATCACAGGTAAACTAAATAAAACACGTCATCTGAGATGGGAAAAGCCATGAATAGTCTTTACACATGCTTTTCACTGTGAGCCACAAACTGCATGCTTTACTAACACAGAACATCAATGATAACAGCACCAGTATCTTTAAATTTTTTCTAAGACACAATATTCAATCATTCAATGAAAATTATTATTTTATATTTAAAAACTCCCCAATCTAAATGCTTTATGCAAAGCAATACCTGATTACAGAAAGTATGATTAAATACTTTATAGCCAATAAAACTAAAAACAAATAAAACCTATATCAATGCTCACTGCATATTTGTCTTTTAAAAAGCATTTATTTTCTGACTTAATCATTATTGCTTTATCGCCATCTAATAAAACCCCCCATCCTCCAAAGCTTGGAGGCCACAGTGTTATTTTACAATTTTAAATACTGGCACTTATCTTGTTTTAACAAGATAATATTTTTATTTCATTTTATTCTATTTATTCATTAAGTTAGTTTTGAAACCAATAAACCTAGAGCACTGCAGTTTGAGTACAGTTATCACCACATATGCATATATCTTCATGTACCATCTGTTATTGAAATCTCAGCTTACATTCAACAAAAATTAACTCAATTAATCCAAGCTGCAGATGTTCTGAGCACAGAGCATGATAAATCTTTATATCATGCAGATCATCGTGTCTTTTTATTGCTATTGTTATAAAAGCTGCCTTCAACTGAAAATCTTTACAAGAAAAGCCACTTACTTATTTGCAAAACCTTCCCAAACACATCTGTGCTGTTCTTAGTTGGGCAGTTCCACCTCCTTGTACGGAACTGGTATTGGCACTCCTGGATCCCCTTGCGAGCTCCGCGGGCAATTACTTGTAAAATGTCATCATCTTTAATACAAAGTTTTTTCTGTTCTGGCGTAAAGTAACGTATATTACATCTATGTGCTGCGTCTCCATCGTCTCTCCTGTCCCTGCCATTTAGGTATGTAGGTGAGAGACCAAGGTACCTGTGTAAGGATAAAAAAATTATATGATTATTTTCAAAGAAAAGTAAATAAAAGGTAAAGTTTAGGTTTAAAGTGTGATATCCTCTATAAACAAGATCAGCCGACTTAAAAAA